TATGTATATATATATATATATATATATATATATACATTCATATATACACATATAAATTCATATACACACATATAAATTCATATATACACATATAAATTCATATACATTGTATATACTTGCATTTATATATTCATCCTTTTTCTCCCACAATTCCCACCTCGTTATGCCCTCTCTCCCCCCCCTATGATAGGACTTTCCTCTACTTGGTGTTCCCGTACGCAACAAAGGCTATGAGATGATGGTGGCCGGAGAACATGTCCAACCACACCGCAAACTGAGCTTTGCTGAACTGGATGTGATGGATGCGGAAGTGGACGAAATGATGTCTAGCGACGATGATGATGAGTATGTATACGAATGTGTGCTGGAGTGTATGTGTAGTACGAGGAAGGCGTAAAGACTTGTCTCTGGAAAGTATGTTTAATAGTATGAGTATGTGTATGTATTGTATGTTAAGTAGTCTGAATGTATGGTTAATAGTATGAACGTGTGTATTATTAATAGTATGAACGCGTGTATTATTAAGGGTTTAGTTAATAGTATGAAAGTGTGTATCATTAATAGTATGAACGTGTGTGTGCAGTGTATGTGTAGTATGCGTTGATGTACATTAGCTTCTATCAAGTGCATGTATCGCGGTGCTCCTCTGGTTGTATTGTCTACACCAGAATGTGGGTGATGGAACGGATGTAAACCTATTTTGCCAAATTTGTAGGTACTCTGTTGATTCCATATTCGTTTTAGGGTTTAGCGTGTACTACAGATAGTGTATACACACATGAATAGCATGTAAATCTTAATGGTCTGATACATCATCTCCACAGCAGCCAACCAGCCGACGATCCCAACGGCCACTCGCTCCCGGCACTAGGCGCCGCACCAATAAAAGGCGACCAAATAACCCAAGAACCAATCAAAACTGAGAGAAATGGAGGGACCGACCAACCCTCTGACGCCGAAGGCGATGTGCACGGCCTGGGCCTATCAGATGACGATGACGATGACGGGGATGGTGATGACAGTAATGAAGATAGTAAACACGCACACAGTGACGGCGACGTAAGTAATGACGGTGACGGTGATGAGGAGGTCAGCATCAACGACAGTGACTTCGACGGCATGTCAGACGACGACGATGATGATGACGATGATGATGATGATGATAATGATGAGGTGTGTGTGTCTGGTGTTGTTGCTGCGTGTCTGTGTAGATGGGTGGTTTGAGTAGCATATATATATATATATATATATATGTGTGGCTCTGGGTGGACATGATACAAGCATCGTGCTTCATATTTATGTACGAGTTCATGATTATATATATATATATATATAGCGTGTCTGTGTA